TGAGTGTGGTCACTTGTTGACCATACGAAACAGGTCTGTAGCAATAAAACGATGAATCACTCCTGAAGTCTTGAACTACATTTATAAATATATATATTTATATTTATATAGCTTTGTCACGCTGGCAAGAAACCAGCGTAAGTATGACATGTTTTGCGTAGTGCACTCGGGTACCTACCCTTCCTAGTCCCCCTTCCTGCAAGGCTAATTGATTAATTGAAATTAATTAATTAAGCAAACATTAAAGTTTACACCTTATGGCGTTAGTTCATTAGCGAACAGCAGCCCCCTAAACCATCCCAACAGTGCACTCTGCACTAATAAATGACTGTCGCTTGTTTCACCTTCAACAAATGTTCAACTGGCTCACGATGTTCTTCCTCATCTTCTTCTTCGTCACTGTCAGTGTCAGATTCGTCTTCACTTTCTTCACTTTCTTCACTTTCTTCGCCAACGCTTTCTTCCCTTTCCAAGTGAACAGCTGCTTTTTTGCCAGTAGAATGCAAATGTAAGTCTGAATTCCCTGACAGTGCAGTGAATGCCGAACAAGCAGAGTAGACAATTGAAGAGCGTGCAAGGCGTTTGATGGTGTCGTTTTCGACAAGGTCGGTTACGCTCGCTTGATCTGGAAATTCTGCAACAGAAAACAGAATTAACCAGTGTGTAGCACTTGATGTAAATATCAGGATATACATTGTGTGAAGTATATATATATATCACTTTCATATACATTGTGTGTAGCGTTCTCACTGATCCCTGATAAAGGGAGTTTATTTCCTCTTCCCTGTCTTGGTCTCGGAGGATATTCCATGGTATACCACGAAAGTTGCGTACAGTGGAACAATTTGGATGAAGAGATAAAAAGTTTATTTCCGCGTTTATTTAAACAAACCTTGACTAAGCAATTTCTAAGTTCTTATGCTTAATGCTAGCTTAGTACTTTTTCTTTAAGTTACTATCGCTCTTAATTAAACAATGCTCTGTCTATAACTGGTACTGTTACTATTCATATTTCTTTTTATATTTATATGTATATATATATTTTTTTTTTCTCTTTCTACCTCTTCTTTTCTTTATTTTTCCTACAACCGATTTAAAGCGTAATAATTCTTGTAACTACTCAGCTCGCTTAGTTTTTACTCTTTTGAGTAGTATTTTTTCTTGCTTAAGTTTAATGTGTTCTTTTGCTGAATGATATTCTATGTAGTATGCAAAATAAAATGGTTGTTGTTGTTGTTGTTGTTAGTAGTAGTAGTATTTGTACCATGCCATAGAAAATACAGCCATTCAGAATACTGGACAGCTGTTGTATACTCGACGGTGAACCCAACCGCTGCATTGATTATGTTTCACCTCTCAGTGTAGTTTCTATCGAGAAAATACAAGTGACTCGTGGGATAATCCACGGTATTCCACTCTAAAGCGTTGTATAACTGGTATATAAATAGCTGACAGCATATCCTTCTTACCTATGCCTGATAAAGGGAGCTTATTTTCCTCTCCCCGGTCCTTTTCAAGTTCCGCAGCCACCGTTTTGAGGTACTGGCTGAAGACATCTGTAACCTGACGGTTATAAGCTTGAAGTGCTTTGGCAAATTCATCCGGAAGATCTTCCAAAATTACCTTCAGGGAAAAATAAAACCATAAATGCTACATTTACGCAATTGTAATTGTTAGTAAACACTTCTGTGAGCGGTTAGTGAGGTATGAGGGTAAAGTATCAAACAGAGATGGAACAAATAAGCTAAGGATTGTTGATATTGCAGATGTAAATGGATTAAAATAATACCGTGTTGTGAAGTCTTCGTGTTTAAGTTGTTCTGTCGCAACAAATTTATTTTGGCGGCGTTAACCTTTTTCCTCCATCAAAGAAGTCTAGAAATGCGAACTAACTCAGGTTGATTATGACGCACATACAGTAATTTGAATTAAATGAATTTGAAATCGCATGAACCCTTAAGCAAACAAAATATAAAGAAATTTGTGAGGGGCGTATCTAACTAAACTCTAAAACTAGTCAGTGGCCTGTTCCACTATGTCCAATAAGATGAATGGATCTGATAGAAAAAAACACAAAAGAAAATTAAACGAAAACAAAATAGCTTATGAAGGAAGTCTTACTTTTGACGTCGGGCACGAGCGGATTCTTCGCTTGAAAGAAGCGTGAAGGAATCTTCGACCAAACAAGTGGCTCAGAATAAGAACCATTTTCCTCATGACGTCTTCAGAAAATTTGCCTGTAACAGAGAAAAGGAAAATATAACACAATAAATATATATTTGAATATCGTATGATGGCAACCGTTGTGATCGCATTGAAGCTGTCCTTACCTTTTAATCCTGGTTGACAAAGATCATGAAAGAGCCCGCGTTGCAGA